AATTTCATGAAATATATAATTTAAAACTAATTCTAGAGATTATATCCCACCCAACAGAACCACCCACAAGTAGGAAATCTCCATAAATTCAAAACATTTTCTGCAACATGATTTATTGTTTGTAATAACACATTTGTTATATGTGACTAATTCTGACCAAATTTGTATTTAGTGTAACAATTTAGACCAAGTCAGTTTTAATTGTGACGGTATGTAATCAAGTTACAATCGTCACAATTAACACAGAATTAGTCACAATCAGTCACAATAAAAATACACTTGGTCCAGAGGGTCACCACAAATAAATTTGCATATATCGTAGACTAACATCACAATCTACCACTAGTCACCACCACCATTACCTCAAATGTATCATACCACTAGTCACCACCACCATTACCTCAAATGTATCACTACTACCACTACCACTAGTGACATTTAGATCTACTTCTAACGAGACCTCTACAACCGACCACTAATCTCTTACAACATATCAATCTGAAGTTGGAATCAACAAATTGGTCCTCGACAAAGTATTCCAAAGTTGGAATCAAGAATCAATTGCTTCTCAAGAATCGTCGACGGTAGAGATGCCGATGTGAGGTTTGCTTAATTATATATGTATGAGACATTGTTGTGTATAATTATATATGTATGCATATAGAGTGATAGAATTGGGAGATAGTAGGTAAAAGGGTGGGTTGTGATGATTCGATGGAGTGGGGTAACTATTGTCTTTCCTCTGTCTCGTAAAAATTGAATTGACAGAAAGTGGGATGGGGTGGATGATAGGACGTGGGGTGGTTCGTAAGGGTGTATTAAATATACCTGATTTTTTTAATAAAATTTTACTGTCATCTGAATTTTTAACTTAAAAATTGAATGTAGGGAGTAGATAATTGGGAAAAATTCAGTTTTCCTACTTTATCTTTACCCTATTTCAAAAATAACAAAACAACTTTCACATTTCAAAAATCAGATATCTTAACCTATACATACACATATATATAAATATTTATTTCAATCTCAATTCAAAATGTGTCCTTCGATCTTGGACTTTGTTAAGGGAAAAAGTACACAACTACTATTGCGCTATAACAATCACATTTCAAAACTAACATTCTTGTCAAATTATTTCAAAGTTGATAAAATATACATTTAAAAGTTGTGAATTTCATGAAATATATAATTTAAAACTAATTCTAGAGAATATATCCCACCCAACAGAACCACCCACAAGCAGGAAATCTCCAGAAATTCAAAGCATTTTCTGCGACATGATTTATTATTTGTAATAAGACATTTGTTATATGTGACCAAATTTGTATTTAGTGTGACAATTTAGACCAAGTCAGTTTTAATTGTGACGGTATGTGATCAAGTTACAATCGTTACAATTAACACAGAATTGGTCACAATCAATCACAATAAACATACTTGGTCCAGAGGGTCACCACAAATAAATTTGCATATATCGTAGACTAACATCACAATCTACCACCAGTCACCACCACCATTACCTCAAATGTATCATTACTACCACTACCACTAGTGACATTTAGATCTACTTCTAACGAGACCTCTACTACCGACCACTAATCTCTTCACAACATATCAATTTGAAGTTGGAATCAACAAATTGGTCCTCGACAAAGTCCACCAAAGTTGGAATCAAGAATCAATTGCTTCTCAAGAATCGTCGACGGTGGAGATGCCAATGTGAGGTTTGCTCAATTATATATGTATGAGACATTGTTGTGTATAATTATATATGTATGCATATAGAGTGATAGAATTGGGTTGTGATGATTCAATGGAGTGGGGTAACTATTGTCTTTCCTCTGTCACGTAAAAATTGAAGTGACAGATAATGGGATGGGGTGGATGATAGGACGTGGGGTGGATTGTGGTGGTTCGTAAGGGTGTATTAAATATACTTGATTTTTTTAATAAAATTTTACCGTCATCTGATTTTTTAACTTAAAAATTGAAATGTAGGGAGTAGGTAATTTTCTCTTTTTCAAGTCCACGTGGGCATATATTTGGGCCAGACCAAGTCAATGTATAACGTGGAAATTACAGCCTACAAGAATTTTAAATTTTCCATTTCAAAATTAAGATTTACAAGTTTGTTTTTTTCAAAAATCAAATGAGAATAAAAAAATTAAATGTTGATAATTATGTTACATTATTCTTATAAAACTAAAAATTAATTTATATACACGCTACCCTATCCACCCCACCTCAATTTTAAAACCCTAAATCTTTCTCATTCTTATTTGTCTTCTTTCTTTACTCTCTCTACTTTTCTCTATCGGTGGCTCGCTCTCCCTCTCTCGATTTTCACAGCAGCGACAAATTATTATCTCTTCTCTATTCTCTTTTTTGGTAGTACACACACTCTCTCTCTCCCCCTATTTTCATGCCATCATTCACAGTTCTTTTGCAGCAACGGTTCCATGTGTTGTGCATTCTTGGTCCACTAGAAATTAGGTGTGGTTGTTGTTTTTGTGTTGGTGGTAGTGGTATTGTGGTTGTGGTGGCTGGTTAGTGTTGGTGGCGGTGCTGTGGTGGTGGCGACAGAGTGATTTTTTTAGATCTAGTGCAACGATTGGTGTTGGTGGCAGCGCCATGGTGATGGTGATGGTGATGGCGATGGCGATGACGACTGAGTGGTTCCAGGTGGTGCGCCTAAATAAGGCTTGGATGTTGTTTTTGTCTTGGTGGTGGTGGTAGTGGCGGTGTGGAGGGGCGGTGGTGCCGTAGATTTGGTGGCTGGTTGGTGTTGGTGGCGGCGTCGCGGTAATGGCGATGATGATAGAGTGGTTCCAGGCGGTACGCCTAAATAAGGTTTGGATTTTTGTGTTGGTGTTGGTGGTGTGGAAGGGAGGTGGTGCCATGGTTGTTGTTGGCGGCGACATCGTGGTGGTGGCGACGGCGACGGCGACTGAATGGTTTTGTTGGATCTAGTGGTGGCTGTGGTTTTTGTTGGCGGTAGTGGTGGTCGGTTTTGTTGGTGGCGATAGTAGGGGTGGTGGACCTGGTAATTGGGGTGACTTTTGTTGGATCTGCGATGGATCTACCGATGGCAATGGCGTTTTTGTAGTTGAAAATGGGGGTTTGTTGGTGGTTGTGGTGGTTTTGAAATTGAAAGTGGTAGTTTGGTCGTGATGGGGCGACGACGGCGAAGACACTAGCTATGATGGTGAGGTTGTGGTGCCATGGTGGATTGGGATTGGGTAGAGTAGGTGGTGGAGTTAATAGTGTCTGTCACCAATTATTGAGATTGTGATGATATGCGACCGATAACTTATGACTAACAAATAATGCAATCTAAAAATTTGACTTGTAATTTATAAAATTTGTGATTTGTGACCTATAATTTTTATGATTTGTGATCGAAAATTAATATATGATCAATTAATTTGATAAATTGTATAAAATTATAACTTTAATATATTTAATTAAACAAATATATTTTTAATTAATTATTCATAAATAAAATTTAATTAATATATAATTTTTAAAGTTTTAAACTTTGTTTAATTTTGAAATGGAGTACATACAAAATTTTCCAATATACTAGTAAGACGCACGTGTCATAGTATAGTTGGCTATATGATAGCGTAAATATATAAAAAAAATATTTTTCTTAAGTATTAGTTAGATTAAACTTAAAACCTTGAAATGATGATATGTGACAAAAATAATATTAAGAGATTTGATTCAAAACTTATTTTCTAAACTTTGCATTTGAATATCTCTCTATTCTTTTTTAAAAAAGACAAGGTATAGATGATTATGGGTTGATGCTCTGCTAAAGAGATAATGAAGTTCAACCTAACCTTCATTTTTCCACCTATTGAGGTAGGCATTATGTCTTCTTCATCTCGTGCTCATAGAATCTCCAATGACATGTATCAATTGCACAAATATTTAATTTCTTTACCAAGACCCTATGCAAGACGTATGTAGTCAAAACCAATTAGTTAATGATAATACAATGTAGAATTTAGGACAAATCAAGGGTTTCTATCGGTATTAAAACCACAACACAACGAAAACTTCCNTTTTTTTAAAAAAATTAAATCGATCTAAATGGATATTCATATCGTGAAATATTGAATCAAATGAAAATTTGTAGAAAAATAAAGTTCGAAAAAGGACATTGAAATGAGGTTGAGATTGAAAAGAAACATAAACAATCAAGACTTTACGTTTCACAATTAATGTAAAAATATTTTTGATATTTAAAATTTATCGATCATATATTTATCATGGTCGCACTTCAACATTTCCAACAAATTTGAAATCGCTTAAAACGAATATTTGTAATTTAAAATACTTAATCAAACGAAAAAAAAACCCCAAAAAGGGCTTAGCCTAGCCGAGCCGAGCCGAGCCGTCAAGCCATTTGGCTCGGACTGCTCGGCTCGGCTTGTGAGCAGTAACTGAAATCTGCCTTTTTTATATTTATACTAGTTTTTGCCCCGTACATTGCACGGGTTATGTTATTTTTAAGGTAATATTAGCGTTTTGAATGCTAAAAATTTCTTTCCAACATAAGAAATTCACATGAATGTGTTGTGTGTAACTTTCTTCCTTGATCCAAGAGAACAGATACTACATCTAGATGCTCTTCAATGACAAAAAACATGTTTTAGTACAAAATAAACATGTTGTATTGGACACTATGGTGAATGAGATTTTAACATTTTTTTTTTCCTTATTACCAAACATGCTATAAACCTAGGACATAGGAAACATAGAAATAAATGTAAAAAATATGTATTGTCATACTTGCTATTTCTGATGCATCTTCCTCTTCAAGAATAACAGCAAAATCATTGATATGTCTCTTATACGGATAAATTATTGAATCCTTCGCCTTCCCTTTACTATAAGAAAATAATTTCACCAAACTAAAGAAAATAAGTGATTGTGCATACTACAAAATAAGCAGATTTCTTGATAAAAATGTTCTAAAAATCCATACCTTCCTAGGAATAAGCCAAGAAACTCGTGAGTTCAAACTTTTCAATAATATCATAAATGACCTTCTCCATGTCCACTGCCTTCAAGAATGTGAAGCGTTTCTTCATATTCAGCAAGCTTACAAAAATCTCTCCGCCTTCCTCGCGAATTTGAAAGCAGCCACTCCTCAGCTTCTTGAAGTTGACCACCATGTTGACTCTTTCCTGCCCCTTCTCCACCACCTTCGAACCATCAATTCCACCTCCATCCCAACTCGAAAGCACCGTCAAATGTCGAAGAAAAACGAAGGAACGGTGTTTAGAGAAGAGGGAGAGAAAGAGAGAGTAAAAAAAAACTGATTCAACAATATAACTAAAGAAATCGAAAGAAACATTTAAAAACATTCTTATCTAAGAAAATTCAAAATCAAAAGAGAATCAAAGAAGAGAAATTACCTCAAAATGTATTATGTCCAAATCCAAAAGAATCAACGATTTTAGAAAAAAATATATGAAAAAAGCAAAGTATGAACTTACATAAGACCGATAGTGAGATTGAAGAGTGAAAAAACTTGGAGTTGAGTAAAGTTTCAAGCCAAGATAACGGGCACGATAGCTGGTGCTCACAGGCGACAGAGATGTGGAAGTGTGGAGGCAGGCGATAGAGATGGGGTGCGGTTAGAAGAGAGGGATGCCAAATTTCTATGGCAACTGAAATTAGGGAGAGAGAGAGTTGTAGAAGAGATCAATTTTCTCTTTTTGCTATTTTATTTATTAGGGAGATATTTATGAACACTACCAACCGATAAGTGAATAGTAAATGTCCAGTTAAAGTGTGAACTGGAGCACCACACAAATGAACAGTGCACAACCAGTTGAAGTGTGAAATAGAAGGTGACAAAAATCAATATATGAGAGAGAGAGAGAGAATAATAGAATACTTTACAGCTGGATGGATGAAAACGAGCTCGTGAACAGTGAGATACAAAAAAGGATTTTGAAGTGTGCAGTAGGGCCGGGGTGTTCAGGGGCAATGCCTCCTATAGGGATTGACGCCCCCGTTCCAGTAAGGTCCCGGGGGGTCAAGGGGGCAGCGCCCATCGTAGGGACGTTGCCCCCAAAAGGAAATCTGATTTGTAAACGATTGTGATGTTTTATAATTTTTATTAATGTTTTTGAATTAAGTCATTAATAAGTGAAATTGTATTTAGTTTCTGTAAAATGTAAGCAAATGGTATCACCTAAATTTTTAAAAAAAATGTTTGTATAATTGTATTTAGTTTGTGTAAAATATAAGTAAATTGTATCACCTAAATTTAAAAATAAGTTCGTAAATTTGGTTAATATTATTTCAAAAAATTTATCGTATATTAATTACTGTTTGCACTCTAATAAAAAAAAACCTTCAACTCCTCACAGTGCGGAGCATCAACTCCACATAGTGCGGAGCAATCAAAAATTTTTTTTTTTTTTTTTCTCCGACATTCAAAGTCAACAATTGTAGGCATATAAATTGATTAAAAAATGATCTATAGCAGTAAGGAAATATTAAAGTCAACAATTGTAGGAATCTAAATTACCCTTAACCTACGAATAGTGGAAGACAGATAGGTAGCAGTTGGTGTATATAGTAGATGATGGATATTAGGCAATTTGGGCTAACGAAAAATGCTTCAGAATGAACAGTACTCGGCATGTTGGAGGCAGTTTGGGCAAACGAAAATGTTTCAAAATGAACAGTACTCGACATATTGGCTCTTTTAATATGGTAGAGATAGAGATAACATACAAAGTGGCCAAAAAATTGAAAAAAAAAAGTTAAAAAATTAAAAATTAAATCCAGGAGTCAATGTTAGACATAAGACATGGACTTGGAATCTGTAAAAGTGTTCATCCACCAAAAGCGAATCGACAAAAAATTTATCCTTTTTTAAAGTTTGAATTTTCCTTCTGAATTTAAAATTCGCTACGAGTTTTGAATTTCTTGTGGGTAAATTGTGGATTTTCTCGGCTTTATATACATATACTTATATATATGTATATTCGTAGTAGGGTTTGTATAATCTAGGGTTTGAGTGATTGAGGTTGCTGATAGATTGTCGCCATGAGAAAGAAGCTTGGGACCCGCTTTCCTGCTGTAAGTCATCTTCTCATACTCCTTTTTTTTTCCCTTTTTCTATATCTGTATGTATGTATATATTTGTAATTTTGTATATATTCACGCATATATAGGTGTTTGTATTTGTATTCTGACTTTTTTTTTTTTTCTAAATTTTATGTGGTCGTTTCGTGTTTTGAATTATTGATGGTTAATTAGTTTAATTGGATAATAGTATAGTCGCTTTGCTAACTAATGTAGTTCTTTTTCCTTTTTTCTCCTTTTGAAAAATACCATAGTCATAGTGAGGAATGTGATCTTTTATTTTTATTTAATTATTTTCAAAAATTGAAATGAATTTATGACCATAAAAGTGCGCAAGTGGAAGATGAATTTGTTTGTTGGATTGCTTATTGTTGATTATTTGTGTTGCTAGTGCGCTAAAATTATAGATATCTGTGGGCTCGCTCCGCTCGTTGACGTAGTGAGATATATATTTCGAGACTCTTGTGTGCATTTTTTGCATTGTTTGGGCTGGCATGAATCTTTAGTTGAGTAGAGAAAATGGAAAGAAAAGAAAAGAATCTGCAGGTGGGTAGCTTAAGATTTACGAAGTGGCTGACAAGCATAATAGAATTGATTATTTACAAAGTGAGGTTCTTGAAAAAGCATTATCTTATAATCAGTCTTCAAAATCGTTAATTTGACCCAAATGGGCCTTGTTATCACCTTTTAAAATTAATACACTCAATTACTAGTTTTGTATTGATATAGAAATATACCATGTTCTATCATGAACTTTTGACATGATTTGAGAACTATGGTAAATCTGCATACAAAGAATCTGCAAAATGAGTAGCAATATAGTATTGCCAAAGACTAAGAAGACTAAACTCTTCCAGCGAACATGCCATTTTTTGAGTTTTCGGGGTGGGTTAGTGTGTAGTCATGAGGTCTAACGTCAATACATTCAACTATTCTTGACTCGCTGTTGTGCCATTAAGCTCCATAGTCGTTGAGAAATTTGGATACTAGATAATGCCTAGATGAATAGTCTTTTCTTGTTATTTGATTGGATTTATTACATTGCAGCCTCGAATTAAAAAGATTATGCAAGCTGATGAGGACATAGGGAAGATTGCGATGGCTGTACCAGTTTTAGTTTGTACGTGTCCATCTCTTGTTTCTCCTTTTTTTCCTCAGATAGTTTCAATCCTTTGTTGATTTATGCCATTGTTCTCCTTATAGTCTTCCTTTTTTATTTCCCTTAACTTTTCTTGCTTAATGGCTAAATGTCAAACCAGCTCTTTCTGTGTTTATTCATATGCAGCTAAAGCTTTGGAACTATTTTTGCAAGATCTTTGTGACAGGACTTATGAGATTACTCTCAAAAGGGGAGCAAAAACTGTGAATTCTTTGCATTTGTAAGTTTCCTTGAAAATTTTCTGTTTTTGGTATGAATGTTACACTGTCTATTTATGTGAACATTGACTTGTCTGAGAGCTACACTCGTGATCATCTGATGTATTCTTTCATTTTCAGGAAGCAATCGGTACAGAGCTTTAACGTGTTTGATTTCCTCAAGGACACTGTAAGTAGGGTTCCCGATTTAGGCGGTTCCGAAGCTTCTGCTGATGATAGATCTGCTTCCAAAAAAAGGTATGGAACTTTTATAAGATCATTGTTTTATTTTTTGTTAAAATAAAATGTGGAAATTAGCATGATTAAAACTTTGTTCATGCAGGAGGGTCTCAGAAGACGAACATAATGGCAGTGATGATGAGTCTAAAAGAATCCACGTGGTAAGCCAATTTCTATGACACGAAATATTTAACCACGCCTGATAGAATAACTGAATAACACTTAAGCTTTCCCTTGGACTTTTTGCAAAAACTAAATAATTTGAGTAAAAAGGAGCCATGAACTTGGTTACTCGGGTTTGTTTCTACCAAATTATACACATTTATTTCTCGTCATATGATAATTTTCCATCAGAGTTCCCCGTTCAGTGAACTTCGGTCACTCCTGATGGCTGCCCGTTACAAGACAGTCTGTAACCACTTTGTGCATAATGTCAAGATTTACCAACAATCTTTACTTCAAACCCAAGTTCAGTGAACAAATGTCATCACAAACTGCTCTAAAATGCAATAACTATTAGAATTGTCCAGATAGAGATGAAATTCTTAATGTTCTAAGAAGTTATGAGTTAAGATTTTGATAGTATCGATCGTTACAGATTAAAAGTAAAAGATAATGATGCATCACACTAATGTTATTCTTTGGAAAGTAATATTAGGGTTTGATTCTTCTCTAAAAGTCCTCCACAGGATAAAGGAGGTGTCGAAAAGTTGATGTATACTTATGATTGGTGGATTTTTCTTTGTTTGCAGCCTGAGACTGGCCACACCAGCACTGGTGGGAGAGTTAGGGGCAGGGGCAGGGGCAGGGGTAGGGGTAGGGGCAGGGGTCGGGGCAGGGGCACTCTAGAGAGAGAATCAAGTGCTCAGAATGAGAAATTTGAAGAAGATCCCGATGTTTCTTCCCAAAATGAAAATCCGGACAATTTTGCAGGTCCTGCAGATACTAGCAGTAAGGGTGGGAAGAATGCAGATATGACAGTCAGAAATTTTGAACTCAATGTGGACTTAAATGAGAATGGGAATTCCACGCCAGTACTGGCTGGAGGCCCTTCTAACTCAGTGACAAATCCAGCTCTTGAAATGAAGCATGAAGAAATTCACGGTTGGTCCCTTGATGGTGTGGAAGGGATGGCCATTGATCCTGTTCAACTTGCCAATATCAATAGGAGGATAGATGAGGAAGAAGAAGATTATGATGAGGAAGAATAATATAACATCATCCTGATCCTGCCATTTCGTGAAGTATTAAGCAATCTATCCCTTGCAGGTCTGGAATTGTTTCTTCAAACTATTTGCTATGCACCGGATGTTTATATATGTTGTTAACTAGCTGGTAGGAGATTAGAGACCGTAGGAGACAACAAATTAGATCAACATTAGTTTGCCTTCTCGACGTCTCAAAGGAACAGAGCTCATTTAGGATTTTTGTACTATATATGATTCTATAGCAAGGCCAATAAAGACTTCATATTTCACTTTGAAAGTCAGAAAATAGAGATATTCTCGTCATCTCCTATTTTGCTTATTACTTCTCAAATTTTTAGATACGAGTCCAAGTTGAGGAATGGAAATTAGTTTTATAAAGTTTGACACACGAAGTTCATATGAAAATTTAACATATTTTAACGGTTTTTGTAGAGGACTGAATTCTTGATTTTTTGAAGTTAATGAGAAAGTGATACTCGAGCAGTAGATTGGGGACCAATAGTGGAATTATACCTTTATAGAGGATCGGATGAACAGAGAGGAGACGCAACTCTGTGTCCAATTATGGATGAAATGAGCCTCAACCGTTGGTTTTCGGCTTCCTTTAACCAAGAAGAATTGGTTTGGGCCCAGGCTGATGGCCTCATTGTTTTTGCTTTAACGTGGAACATTTTGGGTTGGACCCATTTCTCTTATGTCAAGTAACTTTTACTTTACTAGCTACCAAAAGAAGTTCGGTTCTATACTTCTATTCCATCAAAATTAGTTTAGTTTTGAAGATATTTTACCGAGATTTGTGCGTCAAGCCGTCAAATGAATCGCTACAAACCATGCATGATGCATCCATGTTTTTACATATTTTGAAAATAAATTATATTTTAAGCTATGTTTAAGAACAGTCAAACGTTCTTGCCCGGTCCAACTATTAATCACTCTACCGTCATAGCAATATTGTGGGATCCTTCTATACTGTGGACTCATTACTTTCACAGTTTCTTTCTGCTTCAAAACATCATTGTTGGAACTTTGCCATGGAAGCGAGTTCATGAACAGAATCAGCATTCTTCACAATGCAGGAGACAATATCTATTAGTAAAGAAGAAACTGCAGCAGCAGAAATTATTTCATCAAGATAATCTGTGTCTTCCTAGTCCCATAGGTTCGTTTTGAGCAAAGATTTAGGGGCCGTTCTCTTTGTGTTTCAGTTTTCTGTTTTGAGTTTTGAAATCATTTTGTGTTTTGTGTTTTGAGTGTTTGTTTTGAAATTGCTGAAAATGCGTTCTGTTTGTTGTTTTGGAAAACTGTTTCTGAAAACATAAAACTAGAAAACGCGTTTACTTTGAAATTTTGAGAATTTTTTTTTATAATATTTTATTCAAAAAATCTGATTATTCAATAAATTTTAATAGTTTAATGTTAATATAGTATTAATTAATAATGTTAATTTTGAAGTTGTTAGATTTTGAAATATTTTTTCCACATATCAAAAACACAATCTAAATTTTAACATCCATGTAGCTCGTCTAAATTTAACATCCAAGTGCTAGTCGGAACGAAGTACACTTTAATGGATTCTAATACTATATTAAGACTTTAAAATTGCATTTTAAAAGGTGTCAATTTGTCTTTAGTTTTTAGGAGGAAAATATCCTGAAATTATATCATCATTAAAAGAAACTAATGAAAATGACAAGCCAAAATGGACAAAGTTTACCAAATAGATGGTACTTATAGAAGTTCATGCAAGGAAATAACAATATTACTTTCACATTTCATCACATTTTCTTTTGTAGTTAATATTACAA